ACTGGTGGCAAAGCCACGTGAAAAGGGAACGGACGGTTCAGGTGAGAATTCAAAAGCTCTGTGTTGGGCATGTTAGGTACACAGTCCTCAGTCCACAGTGGGAAGGGGTTCAGGTGGAGTCCACTTGGAACCCAAGAGCCCGCATCTCATCCTGCAAGCTGTTAACAGCCACCTGCCCATGAAGAGTCACCTGAGATCTCTGAAGCAGACTCCAATCCCACTTCTGAAAGGAAGAGCAGACTCCTGGCATGAATTAGGTATTTCAAAATGTCATCTATCATCGTTGCAACCTATTTAACTGCAGGTGGCCTACGACTCATTATAGTTTCCCTTACTGTCGTTAGCCTAACTTATTGTAGCTTTTCCCTGTCCCCATTTCAGTCCCTATGGAATTGTTGTTGTTATTCAGAGGCAAATATGTTCAATGTGGATGAACAGATGATGATGAAAATCCCATCTCATCTGCCTCATTTGATTGTTAGTGGCCAAAAAGCTAATTCCCAATGATTAGTTAAAAGACATCTTGAGGCTGTCCAAACTTTATTTTTCTGTTTATTTGCTGAGGGTCAACAACAACATATCTTGGTTATCCTGAAACACAGGGTACAGTAAAACTTCTGTACGAGTTATCCCAGCATATGAATTCTAAAGCAAAGCATGTATCATCTCAATTTATTCAAAGGACAACTGGACTCCACCACCACACCCCCAGTTGGTGCAGTGTCCTGCTCAGATCACCTTTCAATAGACTTCTTTTCCCCTCGAACCTGGAGTTTGTGAACTGCCTCTGCTTCTCCATGAGAGGAACACTTGTTAGACATTACATGGTTTTATCTCAGGGGAAACCCTTATTCGAGTCTGAACTGGGAAATTTCAGTACTTTTGAATGAAGACTTAAATTTGACAAATTATAATAGAGTTGTTTGTTTGCTTGCCTAATTTCAGATAGAGGTCACAAATAGGATGAGCTAGAATGGGCCTCTGCTGGATGATTTGCTGTAAGTTAATCGATGTCAGAAACTAATTACAGAGGCATTGTGCTGATAACCACAAGGTCAGCGGTTTGAAACCACCAGCTGCTCCACGGGAGAAAGAGGTGGCTTTCCACTGCTGAAACCCACAGGGAGGCAGGTCTAAGTTCTACCCTGCCCAATAGGGTCGCCAGGCCATGAGTCGGAATTGAACCCATGGCAGTGAGTTTGAAATCTTCAATTCGCTTCACAGCTTTCGGGTAGGACCTTACACCACCGCTGGTGGCGCTCACCAGCCTTTCGTCAGGAATCTCAAGAGTGTGGGGAAATCCATCTCGGTATCAGGGTCTCATTTCCTCAGGACGACTAAACGAACTTGTAAGTGGTCTAGGAAAGTCC